AAGAACAATATTTGTAAGTTAGTACTGGAATTGTGAAGGTTATGGAGAAAGGACAGGAATGTGGATGTGAGGAGTGGCAAATCAGCCACGATCCTTTTGAATGGCGCAGCAGGCTTGAGGGGCCAAATGGCCTACTTTTGCTCCTATGTCTTATGGTCTAAGCATATTTAATTTTGTATAATATAATTTAGTCAAACATCATAAGGACTGCACTTCATGGGGTAAACAACTGATTGGACATGTGAACATCAGTGATAGTAAGATGTTATGACATCTATGGTTAAGATTTATAACAGTATGGATTCTGGTACAACATTGCCCTACATCGTAGCAATAATAAATGTTTCAAACCAAGTGATACATGATTGTGTTACAAGTTTACCTATCACTCTGTAATATTATCCTCTGGTGTCCATTTGTACATGTATGAACCTACTGATGTTCATATCTGAATAAACCAATTCCCCCATTGGGTACTTGATTTTTCCAGGTGGCATGCTGTCTTTTTTCTGCCCTGAAAATATATCACAGCCTGGTGGGACTGTGGATGTCCCTGTTTAAGCAAATTTGGGTTAGAGAAGCTTCCAACAACCACAGAGGAATTGTGGGGTTTTTTTGCTCAGAAATTAATTTTTTAAAATCTTGTCTTCATGAAAAGTGGTCTGGCCTTTTGAAAATAGCTGCATCAACAGGTAGACTGAGAGAATATTGCAATAATTGTTACAGAATGGTTACAGCACAAGAGGCCATTTGGCCCATCATACCCACACTAGTTCAATTACCTCGTGCCAATCTTCTACCTTTTCTCCATATCCCTACGTAGCATTTCTATTGAAATAATCATCCAATGCCCACTTGAATGCCTCAATGCAACCTGCCTTGACCATTTCCAGGTGGTGAATCATACAATCTATACAGTGTAGAAAGAGGCCATTCGGCCCATCAGGTCAACATAGATTCTCCAAAGAACATACCACCCAAGACCCCCACCCCATCGCTGTAACCGTGTATTTGCCATAGCTAATCCACCTAGCCTGCACATCCCTGGACACTCGTGCAATCCCACACTCAGTGTGTGAACAAGATTTTCCTCACTACATCCTTGCGTTGTTTGCACATCACTTTAAATCTACGGCCTCTACACAAGAACAGTTTCTTCCTCTCTATCCAACCTGCTCATGATTTCGAAAACCTCAGTCAAATCTTCTCTCAGCCTTCTTCTCTCCAAGGAAAACAGTCCCAACTTCTTCAATCTCTCCTCATCACTGAAGTTTCTCATTCCTGGAATCATTCCTGTATATTGTTTCTGAGGCACAGTCTTTCAGTGTACATGTGAAGAGGCTCCAAGATAATTTTTTTTACTACAAATGACATCCTCGATGAGCCTAATAATCCAGCTAAATCAGGTTGTGGGGAGGAAAAGAAGGAGACTTTCAACAAAAAAGTATATAAACTTTTTTTTTTAAGTGCTGCTTACAAAATTTCCTCAAGGTCCCCTTACTTTTATTTGCAGAGGCTACTTTTTCAATCTCATTCTGTCCTTTATTGGTGATGCACTCACTGTATGATGTAGTAACATTGGTTTCTGTACTTGTATTGTCCTGTGGGGCGTTCGGACTGACAGAGAAGCAGAACTAAAAGAATTCATCAATATCCCCAATGACCATCTCAGCTCTATTAAACGTAAAGCTGCAAGGCAAAGGAAAGCTTTCATTTCCTGTCTACCACAATGTTGAAAGATAACAGGCATAAACGTTAGCATCAATTGCTTTTTCTTTCCTAAAAATTAACTAACACACATTTCAAAAGGACATCATCCTAACCACACGTTCCATGGACTGGTAAAGTTACAGTTAAACAGTTTGGCTTTTAACACTGTTTCTGCATCTCAAGTAATTGACAATATGTGAAATGCTTTGATAACAGACAAACGCAAATCTGAACTGATACAGTCTTCTTACAATAACATCCACAATATTTTTCTGCCATACAGTATTTCCTGATCTTCTTTGACTTTAAACTACAAACTGAACATTCACGAGCATGAAATCCATCATCTCAGTGACTATTCAAGTTCTCTGGGATCCTGGTTGGCCAAGTATTCCATTGCTGAGTCTTTTGCAGCAACTTTCCCTCACCCCAAACAAAATACAGCCTCATCCACTCACAATCTCTCCTGACCCCTGCCATTGTACAAACTTTCTCTCCAAACTTTTGTATTGTGTTTGGGTCATAGGCAGATGGATTATGCCCTACCCAGAGTTAAGTTCAAGCAATAAAGGTTTTTGGTTCCAGTGAAATATTACAGCAAATTCACCTTAGCGCATCCATCACTCCTCTTGAGGAAGGGTGTTCCATAGTTCCAGACAAAGTGTGACAAAATATCCAACTTGTATAACAGTAACTCGGTACAAAACATTAATTGTGCAATACGTTGTATCCAATAAGGTTAAGCTGAAATGCGATGCTTCCCCATGCAGAGTAGATGCTGACATCTCACCTTTTAGATAATGGTGAGGAAAAACTGAATTTGCCTCACACACTCCCTGTGCCAGTGATCAAAATTATGCTCAGACAGAATGTGAAACTTACTTTGATTTTTAATATTTCAAATCCCGAACCTCCAAATAAAGGAAAAGCAATGCAGATGTAGAAGATGTGAAATTATAACAGGAAAGGCCAGAGAAACTCAGTAGGTCTGGCAGCTTCTGTGGACAGAGAAACGAAGTTAACATTTTGAGTCCATAGTGATTCACCTTCAGGAATTACTAAGCAGAGACATATTGGACCCAAAACGTTAACTCTGTTTTTCTATCCATAGAAATACTGAGTTTCTATGACACTGTCTCCAGCACTCACGTTATCTGCACCAAATGCACTGATGGGATTTAATTTTGCCTGTGTGTAAGTACATTGTGTACAGCCACAAGAGCACATCAGAGAGTGTGAATTCTGTGGTGAATAACTCATCTCCTGTCCCCTTGTGTGTGTTCATCATCTACATGGCACAGAACAGACGTTTGATGGAAAACTCCCCATTTGGGTTACATGCCAACAACATTCAAGAATCTCAACACCATCACGGATAAACTAAGTCACATGATTGGCTCTACAACTACCACCCTTAATATCAATTCCTTCCAGATCTGACACACAATGGTAACAGTGTTAATCATCTTCATAATACACTGCAGGAACTCACCATGGCCCCTTTGACAGCAGCTTCCAATCCGGAGACCTCTAGCCGCTAGAAGGACAGGATCAACAGATGCATGAGATCACCTCTACCTGCAAGTTCCTCTCCCAACCCCATACTATCCTGACTTGGAAAATAATCACTGCTCCTTCACTGTCGCTGGGTTAAAGTCCTGGAAACCACACCCCCCGCACACACACAAAGAGTACTGTCAGTGCCCCTCATATTTATTCCCCACTCTTCTCTGAAAACTGCAGTGATTCCAGAAGGCAGTTCATTACTACCTTCTCAAAGGAATTGGCTATAATTGCTAGTCTTCCAGTGGCACCCACATCCATTAATAAGTAGATTTTTTTAAAAGAAGACATTGGAAGACCATTGTAAAGATGAGGTGACATCTAAATTACTTTCCTCAGCAGAGGGAGAGCCCAACAGGGAGGATATAAATCTCTTTTTACATGTAGCTGAGCTGCCAGTCACAGCAGATGACATTGGTAGAACAATCTGTAGGAACGCTGTATTGTTAAGGGTATATGTCTAAATTGAAAATGGATGGCCAATACAGATAATGGATTTAGAAATCAGAACTTCTTTTTATGCATATGAATCAGCTGTCAATTGATAAAGGGTGTGTTATGTGAGAAGTTAAGAGTTACAATTCATGAAAATTACAAATAATAATTGGTATGTGATTTTCATGATCAACACCGAGGAAGAGTTTGATAAAGAGTCTTGAGAAGCTATCTTTGGTGGCCAGGATTGGATAAGGACATAAAAGATACAGTGGAACAGGGTAGAGTATATCATGCCAAAGAAAAAGAAGCCTCCACTGATACATTTGAAACTATGGAAATGGCCAGCGACTGTATGGTAAAGACTGCAGCTTTTCATTACATCAGATAGCCAAAGTGGAACTGAAGAGTTTCCAATGAATCAACTAGCAGAACTCAAGACATGTTGCGTTGTTTGATCATAAGGTCGTAGAATGTAGAAGCAGAAATAGGCCATTCAGCCCCTGCAGCCCAAGGGTATCAATGTGGACTTCACAAGCTTCAAAATCTCCCCTCCCCCGACCGCATCCCAAAACCAGCCCAGCTCATCCCCGCCTCCCTAACCATTCCTCCCACCTCAAGCCCCACCCCCATCTCCTACCCACTAACCTCATCCCGCCCCCTTGACCTGTCCGTCCTCCCTGGACCGACCTATCCCCTCCCTAACTCCCCACCTACACTCACCCTTACTGGCTCATCCCTGCCTCTTCGACCTGTTTCCTCTCCACCTATCTTCTCCTTTATCCATCTTCTATCCACCTCCCCCTCTCTCCCTATTTATTTCAGAATCCCCTTCCCCTCCCCCATTTCTGAAGAAGGGTCTCGACCCGAAACGTCAGCTTTCCTCCTCCTCTGATGCTGCTTGGCCTTCTGTGTTCATCCAGCTCTATACCTTGTTATCTCTCATTCAGCCCATTGACTCTGCTTTGCCATTCAATGGGATCATAGCAGATCTGATCATTCTTAACTCCACTTTCCCAACTTTTCCCTGTAACCCTTGATTCCTTTAGTGATTAAAAATCTGTCTATCACAATCTTGAATATAATTAGTGACTCAGCCTCTACAGCCCTCTAAAAAGGTAAATAATTCCATAGATTCACATCCCTCAGCGAAGAAAGTCCTCATCTCTGACTTAAACGGACAACCCCTTACACGGTGATCATGCCCCGTAGTCCTAGACTTGCCTACAACCTCCCCACATCCACCATGTAAAGTCACCTAAGAAACGTGTAGGTTTCAATAAGGTCACCTTTCATTCTTCTTCCACCAAGTACATGCCCAAAGTACTCAGTTTCTCCCTTTTGACGGATCCTCCATAAGCAAGGGCAACTGAGCGAGCCTTCTCGGGAATGCCTCCAATGCCAGTATATGTTTCCCCAAGGGGCTCAAAGGTGTTCACAGTATTCCAGCTGTGGTCTGACTATTGCCATATGATTGCACTTTACTGCTAACTTATACATTCGCATGGGAGTCAGTTAGCTCGAATGGCTGGTTTGCAATGCAGAGAGACACCAACAAAGTGGGTTCAATCCCTGCACTGACTGATGTTACCATGAAGGACTCTCCTTCTCAACCTATTGCCCTCACTGAGGCATAGTGACCCTCGGGTTAAACCACCACAAGTCATCTCTCTCTAATGACAGAGTAGGACTATAGCAATTTCCCCTTTACCCTTGTATGTTCCAAGAGGAAATTGTATGGGACAATGTACCTTAGTATTATTTAGGACAGTTTTTGTAAGTGTGAATCGCGAAAAACCTATAAACACCGTCACGTCATCCAGCTTTCGAATGAAGCAGCAGAGCCCATGGCACAAGCTGTTCTGGTCATTTCAAACCAAGGCTCGATACAAATTGGAAGAAACAGCAGATGCCAAGAATTCACAAACTGGCAACTTCTCTGTTTAACATAACATACTTCACGTCACTGTCAGCCTAATGCCAGCTGCTGGTTTTGCAGAAGACAAACTAGATTCCGATTTTCAGGGCTGAAGCCACATTTAGAACACTCCGTAGCAGAGAAATAATCCAGGCAAAACAAGAAGCTGAGCAGTAATAGAAGAGAGAGAAAGACAGTCAGAAATTAAGTTGAAAGAACACTATCGTAAGTGGCTGCCTGGATGACTTGTGAAAATATGTGGTGTTGGCCCATATTTGGACAAGATATTTGGTTAGGGAAAAATCAGTTTTATGCAAATAGGTCATGTTTTATCTTTGGAGGTTCACAAAGAAGGGAGTTGGGAAGAATCAAACAAGTCTGATGAATTGGATAGTCAGGATATGAGACCAGCTCAGAGCCGAATCAGAGATGAATGCCTGATAAAGAGTGAAATTCAACTGAAGGTCAAAGGAAATATCCATCCTTGTTTGAGAAAACTTCTCCTCAGACTCAGGTCAAGTCATGTCCAGGTCCTTCCTGATTTCTCAAAGTTTAGATCACGAATTGAGAGATCTGCAAGAACAGGAAACCGAAGGTTAAATTAGATTTGTGAATAAATGAGAAATAATAAATGTATGGAGGTGGTGGCATCTGGATGAGCATATGAATAAGAAGGCTTTAGAGGGGTATGGGCCAAATGATAGCAAATAGAACTAGATCAGTTTAGGATATCTGGTAAGCATGGATGAGTTGAACCGAAGGGCTTGTTTCCGTGCTGTATAACTCTACCCGGGTACAAACTGCAATAAACCTGTTCAGTTGGGTACTTGACTTTGCCATGGGGCACATTACCATTTTAGGAAAAGGCCTCAAGGCTATCAGTAAAAAACATAGCTGCCCTTGATGTTTAAACTCTGCCTCTCAGCAGGAGAATAACTCCTCATTTCTCAAAACAGCTAAGAATTAAATACTTTGCAAGAACAGGAAATCACAGAGGCACACTTCATAAAAACAAAATGTGCAGTTGTTATAGAGCCATTCACAACATCAGGACAGCCCTTAGCACTTCAAAAGTAGTACGACATTGAACTGAGAAGCATAGTCACCATCATAATGTAGGAAGAATGCTAGCCCAGCAAACTCCCTCAGACAGAAGCATAAGGCAGAATCCTCCCAGACTCCGAACAATGTGGGCTCTGGTCAGAAATTTAGGGAAACCAGGAGAGATGTCCAGCAAGATGCATCTTGGATGCTGAGAAATGATTCTCATCAGAGCAGTAAAAGGCTTATTATCAGGAATTAATTGCTCATTATCATTTAATCCTACCTCATTAATATGCAGTCTCCCATCTTCCAGATAGAAACTGGATGTTAAAAATTCCCAAAAACACAGCCGGTACCTGGCGACTTCAGCTTGCTCTTCCAGACTTCCATCTTGGAGACAGAGCACAAATCAGAGTGCACACTCCATGGGCAGTGACTATATGCACCCCACAACCAAGGACGTTGATATCCATTGATAAATTCCAGCCTCTCTGCATCATCATGGTACTTCTATGATTCACTTACAGTGCAACACCTCTCATATCAATCCTGCAAGCGGAGTCAGGCACCCAGCTCATGGATTGGACCAGGGTTGCATCTCGGGATTGCACGCTTGCTTCCCAATGCTTACAAACTTTGGTCACTTCAATGCTCACAGCATCTCTGCTTGTCCTTGCAGTCCTGGCAAGGGCAGCCTTGAATATCAGGCCAGGGGCTTTGGCACAGTTAGTCAGTCAGCTGTCCTGTGTGGTCTGGATCCTCCCCTTGGAGCAGAATGTTAGGCAGTCCAATGCCCATCCTGGCTCTTTCTGTCATATTGTGGGCTGAGAGATGTCCCGAGTGAGGAAGTAGGTAGCACAAAGAGCATATCCTGAGTCAGTGAGTAAATAACTCAGAGGGCATGCAGGATTAGTGACAATACGGTGGGTGAGAGAGCAGGCAGGTGGGGGGAGATGTTGCTGGCAATAGTGATAGTGGTTGACTATAAGCATTAGAACATAGAACATAGAACGTAGAACATAGAACATTACAGCGCAGCACAGGCCCTTCGGCCCTCGATGTTGCGCCCACCTGTGAAACCAATCT